CAAGTCACTGCAGCTCGGCAGCTCCTGTGTTGAATGTCTGCCCCTTGGTGGTCAGTGCGCATCATAGCGACCAGTGGGACAGTAGGAGGGACACTTAGCATATTAGCCTTTTATATATATAGATAATTGTCCACATGCGCCCATTTTTTATATCAGGTTCCTAGAAATAGAAGTGTTTGATCAACGTGAATTTACATAAACAAATTTGATAGAGACAAACTACTCTTCAAAAATCTTGTATCTATTTAGACACACACCAGTAGTTTTCCCAATGTTTTATCCACATCAAAACTAGATATCATTTATTTTGTATTTAGGAATTATACACACAGTGCCCTTATTTCCCTGTTTTAATTCATAGTTCCTGGATTATAACTGAGGCCCAACAAGTTTTTTTTTTACATAATTATTAACCTTTTCTAAATATCTTTCTTAAACTTTCCATTTATATTTTTGGCTCAATTGTTCTCCATTTTGCTATGTAAGACTTTTTTTTTTTACACATAATCATTGTAAATACTTATCTATAATAATAAAAGCGTAATATGCAAATCAACTGAATGGCCAAATAGCGGAACAGCCATCTGGACGAACATGCTATAACACCCACTGGCGCCAGCCCAGCCAAGGCAGGTGTGATGTGATTGGTCGGGGGCCCTGCCATCTCCCCATGATCGCCCTGCAGAGGGAGGCCCAGGCCACCAACCAGTGGGCTGCGGTGGGTAGGCAGGGCCTCCCTTGCAGGGGTGATCCATCATGGAGCCCCGGGTGAATGGGCAGGGACTACCTCTTTGGAGCAATCAATCTCAGAGCCCTGCTATCAATCACCCCAAAGAGGGAGGCACAGGATACCCAGCCAGTGGCGCTGAGGTGGGTAGCCTGGGCGTCCCTATGTGGGGGCGATCCATCATGGGTCCCTTAGCCAGGCCTGTGCCCTCTCACAGTCCAGGACCCCTCAGGGGATGTCTGCCTGCCGGCTTAAGGTGGCAGTTAGGCATCCCTCTGGCAGTCCGGGGTTCTCGAAGTCTGGGATCCCTCGCTCCTTACTGCCCACCTGCAGCCAAGGCGGGAGAGGCTTATACCACCACCGCTGCATTCATTGTGCTCACTGCACTCACCAACCATGAGCCCAGCTTCTGGTAGAATATTTGGTATTTAAATGTTACACATCTGATTCTCATGGATAATTTGAATGAATCCCCATTCCCAATTTCAAGTTTACTCACCCTAATATAATAAACATTTAACTTCCCAGGTTTTTATCTTTTGTATTATACAATCACAGTTAGTGATGTACCGCCAATGAATAAGCTCATTAATATTTGACTGAAATATTTTAATGCACCCAAAGTAGCAATTTAGAAAGGTTAGTAAATACAGGAAAAAACACTAATGAATTAATATTCAAGCAAGGATAGAAATTAATATAACCAAAGCAATTATAAGTTAATGTTCCCATGGAGGCTAAGTGAGTTATCTCATTGATTTCAGGAAGTATTTTTGTTTTGTTTCTGTCATAATAAAATATGAGTATAGCTTGATGCTTTTAATTCATAGTAAGTAATGTTTATTAATCAACTAATGCCCTTAAATGGATTTTACACAGAGAATGTTTTTTTTCTAAAAACAAATCTTACATAATGTGAAGAAATGTTTCTTAACTATGTCACATCACAGTTTAGAGATTAAGTGTATTTTGTCCTTTTTGCTTACTTATATTATTACTAGAAGCCCGTTGCATGAAGATTCGCACAATAGGCCTTCCTTCCCGTGGCTGCTGGCACTGGTTTTCCTCGGGCACCCGGGACCCAGGCCTTTGGTCTGCTGCAGCGGAGAAGCCAAGCCTCGAGGCTAGGCTTTTCCCCTCTGGACGCAGCAAGACTTGGAGAAGCCAAGCCTCTTCAGTCTTGAGCCTTTAGTCTTGAGTCTTTAGTCTTCACTCTGGCCAGAACCTTCAGTCTTCACTCTGTGCCTTCATATGCAAATTAACTTCCATTTTTGTTAAGTTAATTTGCATAGTCCCTCTGATTGGCTGGTGGCTGTAGCGGAGTGACACCAATTTGCATGTTTCTCTTTTATTAGTGTAGATATGTCAAGCAAACACTTTCAAAATATATTTCATGTTTTTTGAACTTTCTTTTTAAAAAATATATATTTTTATTGATTTAAGAGAGGAAGAAGAGGGAGAGAGAGATAGAAACATCAATAATGAAAGATAATAAATTATCAGCTGCCGACTGCACAATCCATATTGGGGATCAAGCCCCCAACTCAGGCATGTCCCCTGACCTGGAATTGAACAGTGACCTCCTTCCTGGTTCATAGATCTATGCTCAACCACTGAGCCACACCAGCCAGGCTGAACTTTCAATTGGTATTAAGGCATGTGAAAACCATGATGCCAAAAAGTGCTATTTTTAGTGTTAAATGTATCTCACTTTTTATTTTTTTATTTTTATTTTTTAAAATTTTTTAAAATATATTTTATTGATTTTTCACAGAGAGGAAGGGAGAGGGATAGAGAGCTAGAAACATCGATGA